AGGCAGTTAGAAAGGCCAAAGCTACCATGGAGCTGAGGATGGCATCCCAAGTTAAGGATAACAAGAAAATGTTTTCCAGATATATAGGGAGTAAAAGGAAGGCCCAGGGCAGTATAGAACTACTACTGAACGGGCAAAAGCAATGGGTGACAGACAGGGGGGACAAGGCTGAACTCCTCAGTGAGTTCTTTGCCTCAGTGTTCCTAAACGAGGGGCAAGACAAGTCTCACAATGGGATTGTAGAGAGGCAACAGCAGGGCACCAGACTACCAAGCGTTGACCCTGAGATGTTGCAGAGTCACTTGGAAGGACTGGATGCGTTTAAGTTGGCAGGCCCGGATGAGCTCCATCCGAGGGTACTGAAGGCACTGGCTGACGTCATTGCACAGCCACTGGCAAGAATATTTGAGCAGTCATGGTGCACGGGCCAGGTCCCGGAGGACTGAAAAAGGGCGAATTTTTGTCCCTATTTTCAAGAAGGGGAGGAAAGAAGATCCAAGCAACTATAGGCCAGTCAGTCTCACCTCCATCCTTGGCAAAGTCTTTGAAAAGATTATTAAGGCTCATATATATATGAGAGCCCAGCAGGAAAAATTATGCTGAGGGGAAACCAGCATGGGTTCATAGCAGGTAGATTGTGCCTGACTAATCTAGTCTCTTTTTATGACTAGGTTACAAAACACCTGGACGCAGAAGATGGGGCTGACATGGTTTACTTAGACTTCAGGAAGGCCTTCGATATGGTATCCCACCCCATACTGGTGAACAAGTTAAGAGGCTGTGACTTAGATGATTACATAGTCTGGTGGGTCGCAAATTGGCTAGAGGGTCATACCCAGAGGGTGGTAGTGGATGGGTCGGTATTGACCTGGAAGAATGTGGGCATTGGGGTCCCACAGGGCTCAGTCCTTGGACCGATACTCTTCAATGTCTTCATCAGTGACTTGGACGAGGGAGGGAAGTGTACTCTGTCCAAGTTTGTGGATGATACAAAACTGTGGGGAGAAGTGGACACACCGGAGAGCAGGGAACAATTACAGGTAGATCTGGACAGGTTGGACAAATGGGAAGAAAAGAATAGAATGCGATTTAATAAGGAGAAATGCAAAGTGCTGCACCTAGGAAGAAAAAATGTCCAGCACACCTACTGCCTAGGAAATGACCTGCTCGGCAGCACGGAAGCAGAAAGGGATCTCGGAGTCCTAGTGGACTCCCAAGATGAACATGAGTCGTCAGCATGACAAAGTCATCAGCAAAGCTAACTGCACTTCATCATGCATCAGCAGATGCATGACAAACAGAACCAAGGAGGTGATACTTCCCCTCTATCGGACACTGGTCAGACTGCAGTTGGAATACTGCGTCCAGTTTTGGGTGGCGCACTTCAAGAGGGATGTGGATAACCTGGAGAGGGTCCAGAGAAGGGCCACTCATATGGTTAAGGGCTTGCAGGTCAAGCCCTAAGAGGAGAGACTAGGACACCTGGACCTCTTGAGCCTCCACAAGTGAAGGTTTAGAGGCGACCTTGTGGCTGCCTATAAGTTCAACATGGGGGCACAGAAGGGAATTGGTGAGGCTCTACTCACCAAGGTGCCCCTGGGGGTCACAAGAAATAATGGCCATAAGCTAGCAGAGAGCAGATTTAGATTGGACATTAGGAAGAACTTCTTCACAGTTAGAGTGGCCAAAATCTGGAATGGGCTCCCAAGGGAGGTAGTGCTCTCCCCTACCCTGGGGATCTTTAAGAGAAGGCTGGATAGGCATCTGGCTGGGGTCATCTGAACCCACTGCTCTTTCCTGCCTATGCAGGGAGTTGGACTTGATGATTTATTGAGGTCCCTTCCGACCCTAACATCTATGAATCTATGTTCCCTAAAAGGTATAATAGGTTTTTGCCACGTAGCCATAATGAGGTTAGCCAAATCTATCCTAAAGAGAGTATTTATACAGTTAGCTGGTCCGCATATCTCCACTGGAGGTCAGAGCCACATTGCTAGCCTACCTGTATAGGGTTCCATTTGGTAGTTCACAGATCTGTTGGATCCAAATCTTTAGGCAAGAGTGAGCACAAATTAGCACTCAGATGATGTGCTTGATTTAGATACATAAATCAAGACTAGGCCAAACATAATGTATCTAGTGGCAACTTACTATTCAGTTCTAAGGCTTCAGGAACCATATTCAGTTTAATTGATTGTTGGTTCTGAAGCAGATAAAAAGGTCTGACTCAATTATCTAGAGGCCTGCTTGTCTAGTTGCCTGCCTGGTACAGATCTGTACTTTTTAATATACAGACTTTTATAAATATACAATGACAAATATTTATATTTTTAAAAGTGCCCAAGACACTCCACTTCTCCCTACTCCTCACACCTTGAAATACATCAACTTTAGACATCTTTTCACAATTACTTGAATATTTTATGTATAAAAGTTTAAGTTTAGGCTTAAGGCTTAAGTTTGCATGGGACTAGATGTTGCTTCTCAAATAAATGCATTGATTTCAGTGGACGTGCTTAGAAAGTGAGTTACTATTCAATTTAAATAAGAGTGGCAGATTTCAGCTTGTTCATAATAGCATTCATCTAACATGCCAGTGAGACTAGGTCCATATTTTATCTCGTAGAACTCTTAAGCATATGCTGTACAACTTAACTGCAATGCAGAATACAGTATGCTCTGGGAATGTACATATCACCCCTGTTAGTGTGTGCATCACCCTGGAGTGAATGCAGAGAAGCCTAGGGATATTTAATATTTTCCTTAAGATGAATAATTGTCACTACCCAATTAACATAAGCAAGCTATACAGCTAAGCATATTTATTTTGCATTTAGTTTGTGATGACCTCTCATTCATGTTGCCTTGTAATTTTAATTATTTTCTCAAATACTTGGCCCTTTCTTTCTAGCACCATAAGGTCAGAAGTTCAGTGGATCTTACCCAGTAAAGAAGAACTGAGAACATCAGCTTTCCATATATTTTTCCTCCCTTTCCTCTGCCTTACTTGCAGCTTGTGAAGGACATCTTTGAAATCCCTCCCTGAGGATGAGATTAAATGAGGTTTCTATGTCAAACAGGGAAGCACATGTTTTCTGGAGTATTCTTTAGTCCCTAGCTACAAATAGCTGGTCCTAGGTTAATGGTACTTGAAACAGCAATGGCAAATTGCGCACACAACTTTTGCAGAAGTTGTACTATTAAGAAAGAGACTAACTCATTGGGTTGGGAGCCTACACTTCCTGCTTCTTTTGTAGGGTCTTCTCCTTCACAAAGACAGATTTGACCTAAATGCCAAGACTTGGCTTTGTAGAGGTTCCAAGGCTGCTTCCTAATCCCAACAAGTATAAATGTGGAGAGAGTGATTTAGTACATTACTTTCTACACTCCACCACTATTTTTCCTCTGCATTTAGCTTCTTTTCCTTCTAAATTCTTAGTGCTATCACAAGCCTTTCCCTCCCCCACTGAGGTTTCTGTTCTTATATGAAGCTGTTAAAGTTAAATAAGTGTGAATGTCTGTCAAGTACGATCCTTGTAAGAGAGCATGTACATTTTATATATTTTGAGTAAAGAATAATTAATAGTTAATTAGTGTAATGAAAGTAATATACAGCAGATGCAGTGAAGACCTTGTGGAAAATTATTATGAATTAGGTAACGTGATTTGGTCAAAGCAAGCTTGTAGATAAGAATTAAAGCAGTGGACATGTGGAGGGACAATCAGTGACTGTCTATCTCGCACACTTAGGGAATAATTTAATCAAGTTTGCTATTGTAATACTCAGTGCTTCAAGCTGTTCAGTTTTCACAAGTAGATAACTTGGGATTTGGGTTCTGACTTGCAGCATTCCTACACAGTCAGGGTTTCGTGTTGAAATTATTGTTTACTGAGGAGTTTAATCATGTTAATATGGAGTACAAAATGTAAAGGCAGGGGAGGAAAAGCAGAACCATAATTCTTTTTAGTAGTAATGGGAAAACTCACTTGGCTTCACAAAAATATCTGATCTGCTCTTCATCTGGGATTGTCTCAAAGTCCGTTTCCCCTCTTTCACATACCCTTCCTTGTAAAATATCATATTAATACACTGCAACCATAAAGAATTTAAAGAAACCAATAAAGATTTGGTAGCAAAATAAATATATTTAAATTATTTGGTTGGTATTTAAGGAAGTAAACACTTCACTTTATGACATCACTGCTGTCGTCATTATTACTGAAAATTAGCAAACCCAGACGCCACTGGAGAAATAGAGAAAATAAAGTATATTTTAAAACGATTGGAAAAGATATTGTTTCCATGGTTTCAGAAGTGATTATATGAAAATAAATGTGTTAGTTTTAATGTAAAGTTTTACTGTGTTTTATTATATAAATGTATGTTTTATATGATTAACTTACTAGGTTTCCAATTTTCATAGAAAGATGTAAGGGATATCCTGACTCCTATACACGTAGAAGCAGCTTATCATCTTGGACATCATGTTCTAAAGAAAAGAAGTATGAGAAGTGTAGAGGACTTCCCACCCCTTCAGCCAGTTCTTCAGAGGAGGAAAGACAGAGATATTATAAAAAGCAAGGTTAGTTCATGTATTAAATATTTAAGTATTTAATCCTCATTAGACAGAAATCTCACATGGCAGCATCATAACCAGGGATAGTATTTTCTGGACTGGTGCTTACATCTCACAAAGATAGTGACATTAAAATGCCTTGATTTTATTAATGTAAGCTGCTGGGTTTAGGCTAAATACTGCCTTGCTTGAAAAACTTAAATCTAGATGTGTTTAAATGATGTAGAAAAATTAGAGAGTCCAGCAGAGGGTAACAAAAATGGTTAGGAGGCTGGGACACATGACTTATGAGAGAGGCTGAGAGAACTGGGCTTATTTAGTCTGGAGAAGAGAAGACTAAGGAGGGATTTAATAGCAACCTTCAACTACCTGAATGGTGGTTCCAAAGAGGATGAAGCTAGACTGTTCTCAGTGGTGGTAGATGACAGAACAAGGAGCAATGATCTCAAGTTGCAGCAAGGGAAGTTTAGGTTAAGTATTAGGAAAAACTTTCTCACTAGAAGGGTAGTAAAACACTGGAACAGGTTACCCATAACGGTTGTGGAATCTCCATCCTTAGAGGCTTTTAAGACCTGGGTAGACAAAGCCTTGGCTGGGATGATCTAGTTGGGGATGGTCCTGCTTTGAGCAGGGGGTCGGACTAGATGACCTCCTGAGGTCCCTTCCAACCCTTATTTTCTGTGATTCTAAATACTTATTCCAGGACTGTCCAAATTTGGAATGTCTGGGGGTTCACAGACCCACTGGTTGTATGCCACACATTCCTCCTATCTCACACAGGCCATTTGGTGGGTGACTCCTGCTGCACTATATTGATGTCTCTGTATTGTGTGGGGTCCACAGCCATGGGATCCTTCAGCCTTGCAAGCTACACCATCCCACGCTGCCCTGCTCCCAGGGGTGGGGACAGGCATTAGAGGGGCAGCTCGGGGACTCCAGCAGCAGCACCTGGAAAGCAAAAGTAGGAGCGGCACACAGATCAGGAACTTGGGGGTGCATGTGGCCCATGAGCTGCTGGTTGAACATTTATTCTGTGGAGCTACTCCAAGTTTTCATTCACAGAAACTGAGAAAAAAATATACTGCAGTAAAGATTTGATAGCAAATTTCTCTGCAGCCTTTTATGTAGCTCTGAAGCAAAAATCAGAGTGCTCTAATGATTTGTAACTGGAAAACTGAAATAAAACTATTCTGCCTTCTCACCAGTAGCAGGTTTTACAAATTCACATAAAATTGTTAACCACTTTGAAGAATCTGAACAAGTGTTGAAACAAACAACATTATAGTCCTATTGACTTAAAATAATAATCATGTAGGGAATAGTTAGACAAACTATCCTGTATATATTATTGCTGTCCTGTCATAAGACAGAACTGACCCAGAAATTTCAGTTCTGGTACCCCTGTAAGGCTTGTCATCTAATGTGTACCTTTTAGAACTGGCTGATCATATAGCCACTGACCAAGGATGTGTCTCTATTGTTTTGTGTATCCTGTACATAGGCTGAGAAATGACAAATCACCACTTTATCCCACTGCTGTATCAGAAAGAGGTTGTTCATGGTTTCTGGTTACACAGGGCACATCTACATGTGCATTAGTGTACCTTTTCTAACGCACATTAAATTTAGTTTGTGTAATGTGCAGTACTAAATCAATGTGCATTAGGCTGCCCTAATGCATAGTAGCACATTTGCATGGTTTTTAAATTATGCTTAATGCATAGTAGACTCTTTTACTATGCATTAGCATAATGTCATTGTTTTTACGTGACGCTGTAATGCACAGTAAAATAGTCTACTGCATATTGAAGCGCATGTATAGATGCGCCCGCAGCAATGGATGGCTTAGAAGTACTTTAAATCTGTACATTTGTTTCCACAGATTGTTTTTGCAAGATTTTGCACCCAAGAGAACTGTTCAGCTGACTTGAAAGTTTCTGGGAAGCTTGCATTTCCAAAGTAAGTATAACATCATTTCTGCCTGATGAAAGAGATTCAGTAGTGCTTTGTTTATCAAATTTATTTTTACCTTTCTATTTAAAGAAAATAGACTTGCAAAAATGGGATAGGAATAAAAATCATAGTTTCTAGTAAAAGTTTTTAAACAACTAATCTTTTAGAAAGTGTAATAGTAATGTAAACTTTCCACAGCTGTTGTGAAAAAAATTATACTTGTATGGAACATAAATACTTCAGTTTTGTGCTACTTGATTGTTTTATTCAGTATTTCAGTTATGGAATAATTAAGTGGGTTTTTTCTTTGTGTACTTAGGAATATTTTATCTACAGTATTACACTGCTGATTGAGATATCAAATGGTTGGGCATTACATGTGGTTTACATTCTATACTGCTAGATATACTAGGTTGCATTTTCCAAGCTGAATTTCATTTTAGTTTTCACCCATGCTCCTTTTCTTAAGTCCTGTTGTAGTATTTTTGTATCCTTAAAGGATTTTTGCTGGTCCTTATCCTTATATTTCATCATCATGCTAAATTACATTGGCATGACATGGACATGGTTGGATCCTTGTAGAACTACACTTAACTTTCCTCAGCAAGATACATTTCTATTGATTATTAACTAGTTTTCAGTTCATGTGACACAATTTTACCCAAGGTAATTTGACATTTTAATTGCAAATTGGATTTTAAATGCTCTTCTCAAGTCTAGTCCCCCCCACCCTTAAGTACCATACTTAGGAGCAGAAAAGATGGGTTCTCTTCCTGAATAACTTGTGGTGGAACAGTCATTTACCGTGTACCTCTGGATAAAGCAGAGCTAGAGCTGTTGCATTTGTGAAATTTGTGACATGCTTCTGTTTTGCAAACACTAAATGTTTTGCTATACGTCTTATTTGAACTAAACTGCTAGTGTGTCCTTGTAGAGAATCCTAAATTGATATACAAAACATAATAGATACAATTTTGATTAACCATTTCTATGCAATTCTGGGCACAAATTTTTGTCATAGATTTAAAGTGGGTGTATGGTGTGGACTTATTTGCTTAGTTTAACATTCTACTCAAGATTTTAGTCTTAAGCATTTTCATTTTCTTAAGCTTTAAGACACTATTGCTTGACAAATTATGCACTTTTGTAGAGGAATGGATTTGTAGTTTTTTTCATTAGTGCTAATACAAGTTAAGCAATTTTATAAGTATCATAAAACCCTAAGGATCAGAAAGAGTACTGTACACCTGTTTCATATTAGTGTACTATAGGACATGAGAATTTGAACCAACCAGAATAAAAAGGCTACATATCTTGCTAAACTGTGAAATATCACCTTAAATTACATTTTGTCCTAGTATCTTGATTAGAAACTAGTTAGCTGTGAAGCATTAATTTATTTTGTCTAGACAGAATGCATTCATTATCCAGGAACAGCAAAGTAAACACTTCTTTGTTTTTGTTTTTTAAAGAAAACCAAGAAATTTATCATAAAAGAATGAAATTGAATAGGGGATGTCACTGAAATACTTCATTGTATTCTTGTTCTTTACTTTCCGAGTTATGGCTCACCATGTACAAACTATCTCCTTTTGTTTAAATTGCTTAAATTCTGATCTGCTCTGTAAATTTCAAGTATGCATTATGCATTTTTTAATGAAGAATGAAATATGATTATCAGGGAATAGCTGTAGTTCAGCTTTGTCATACTCCCAGATGTGCACCTGGTGCTTTATCGTACTTGCATACTAAGCTGGTGGGCATCTTTTTGATGGTACCTTGTTAATGAATCAGAACGCAGTAAAATGTGCGACAGAAAAGGGTAGAATGATGATTATGTAAATGTGGCAAAATAGCTTAAAAATGTGAAGAAAACTAAAAACCCAGCCACTAAATGTTATCACTGTGTTTCTCTTTAATTTGCTGTTGTCTTGGAACCTAGCTGCTTATGCAGTGCTTTCACCTTCTGTTGCTTGTCTAAGTGCCAACTTCTTTCCCAAAGGTGTTCAGTGACTAATGCTTTGGTTCCAAGCCAGAATATTTGATAAATGTCTATTTCTAGGCAGCTCTTGTACAAGTCTTAATTAAACTTTAATGTCAAATTGAAGTTTACTTTTAGAACATTGTAGGGTACCTTCACTTGTAACATGATTACAGAACACTAAGTGCCACATAAGATAGACATGTTCACTTACATTCCTTGTGTCCTGTTTCACATTAACTCCATCGTACACATGGACTGAAACATGAAGACTGCAACCTTATATAGCACAGGGTGTAAATAAGAGAGTATTAATTTCAAACATTCTCCAAAGTAGAAAGTTAAAAATCTCACAAACAGATTTTAGTATCAGGAAGAGAGAGTTTTCTTCATTAATCTTGTGGCACTAAAAACCCTAAGTCATATATCCATAATACACCTTATGCAGGTTTATTATTTTCTGAATAGTTTTGGATGTGACGCATCCTTGCTCCAGTGCTCTCTGTTCTACATAGACCTGAGCTGGATGTAAAAGTCCTGTCAAATCTTACAAAATCCTCACACTGGGGCTTAAGTGGGCATGAGTCATGCATAAATCATATGTGACTTCTCTTCCAGGGCATAACTTTCACCCTGGGCATCCTGCATCAGTACAATAGTTATATATACCCCTGTCTGGTAAAGTAGCTAAATGAGAAAGCAAGCAGCATTCCTTACTTAAGTGGTAATACTCCAATACCCAGTCAGATCCCAAAAAGTACAGTGTAAATGAATCATGCTGTTATGGCTGACTGTCATTTAGAGAGTGGATGGCTGAAGATGGGCTTCTGGTAGAGGGAGAGGAGGTGTAACTGGACATAATCTGTGCTCTGGGCAATAGTGGTACATGGAGCAATAGCTGCAGCTGGCAACATGGGAGCCAGGAGAGCAGCAGTGATGGCAACTACTATTTTTGTGTCCTGCCTCAAGTTGGCATCTTTGGGACAGGTGTCCCTATTGCTTCTCCCTCCTACTTACTGTACTGGGGATGGGAAAGTACCTATTTGGTCAGTACTGTAAAATTGGCCTTTTCCAGATAGTTGATTGAGTTGAAATCAAAGAAACGAATGGGCTCTCTCTTGTTCCCAAGCACTCATCTCTTTTTTTTAGACACTGGTCTTAGTAGGCCACTATCTATGTATGCATGTCTTAGGTATCACATTCTATGTATTCATTCTTTTTATAGACCTAATGAAAAGAAGACATATCTTGCAGTAGGAAGTATGAAGACTTTACTGTTGAATGTTTCTCTTTACAATGCTGGGGATGATGCATATCAAACTGGCCTCCACATCCAACTCCCAAAAGGCCTGTATTTCATCAAAATTCTAGACCTGGTAAGAATCAAAATTCTATGCCCATTAACATTCTAGCATTACAAAGAATGCTTTTTACTGTAATGTAGTTAATTCTGCAGATACAATATTTCCGATGTTTTGCTCTTTCTTCATTTTTTGCTACCTTTCAGTTTTGACCCTGAAAAAATTTAGATGGGAGAATCTGACCATACTTAAGATCTTCTGCTTTAAGCTTTTGTTAATCTACCTACTTTGGTAAAAATTGTATTTTGATAGCAAAAAAAAACAGTGATTCCTAGATGTTTGGAGCTAAATATGCTAGCAGTATATTAGCATATTAACAGTATACTAGTGTATTGATGGTATACTTTGTTTGTTATTTTAAAGATGGTGACAAGGCAGTGAAAAAGTGTAATCAGTGCATGGTATTCAGATTCATAGACTCATTGGAGTTGTTAGTAGAAACAGTAGGAATAATTCATTATTGTTGCACTGAAGTATTGAACACTCAAACAGAATTTACTTGTTTCAAATGTAAAGCTAAGTAAGTTTGCCAACAGTTATACTAGATTAATCAACCAACCCTTTATTGGTAATTCATTCTTTATTTTAGGAAGAAAAAACGATACATTGTGATGTATTAGATAAAGAAGCTCATTCAGTGAGACTTCACTGCAGTGTTGGCTATTTATATGTAGACCAACAGTCAAAGGTAAACTAAATATAAAATCTTTAATCCTCAATATCAACTCTTATTTTATAAGTTAAATGCACTAAGAAAATACTTAAAATGTGTGACTTGGAAGAGAAAACTACATGCATAATTACCTACATGATTACTATAATAAGAATTTAAGGTTTAACAAGTCGTCTATTCCTCATGTCTGTCTTCTCTGTTTTGACATTGTTATCAGGCTGGTACTGTCTTTAGTTTATTAAGAACACATCCTTTTGTTATTTGGCAACTTACCAGAGATCTCTCTTGGCATCCATTTTGTTGTGTTTTATTTCACTAAGGACACTTCATCTCTATTATTACTTTTTGAGGAGGAGGGTCTAGGTTTCTCTTAAATCATAGATGTAATAGCTGAATCAATTAAACACTGAAGTATTGTGTAGCAGTACCAAGGACAACAGAATATAATTTATTGGACCTAAGTGGACACCTTTCATTTATTCCACATGTCCTTTAAGGGAAAAATTAAATCATTCAATTTTGAAGAAATGAGTCTTTTTACACCTCATTTGATACCATGCACTCAAAGCAAATTGGCTACTACAGTGTAGCCAACCTTGCTGCTACCAAGTTATATAATATGTAGCCTTGTCTTATCCCCCGCCCAGCCCTGGCCACTTGTCTCAGACATCGCTCCCTTCCTACCCAAGACTCCATCCCATCCACCTCACCAAGTGTGCCCTGTTCACAGGGATCCCGCACCGGTCTCCATGGAGACCCTGCCTGTCTGCCTGGTCTAGCGCCCCCAGCAGTAGGTGTGGGCAGACAGGCCTGGGGCCAGATAGGATTAATTGGCATCTCCCTGGCCTCCCCCGCCTCCACTGGGCAGTGTAAACAGTCATGACAGGGGGACCGAGGCCAGGTCAACACTATGTAAACGACAAGCTGAAAATTTAGACTGGCATTGTATTGTGCAGTTAAGCAAATAATGCAGTTATCTGGTATTAAGGCGCCATCTACACGTTACACTTAAGGAGTGATTAACCAGTTAATTGTGCCCTAAGTGGTCACCTATCCACACATTCATTCAGTTAATAGCATGATAAAAAGAGGAATAAGCTACAAAGTTATTCCACAAAATATGTTTGATAACTCTGTAGCTGCTTTCCATCATGCCATTAATTCAGGGGTGGGAAAATATGGCCTGTGGGCCAGATGCAGCCCGCCAGGTCATTCTATCAAAGATGACAGGCAGCCAGCAGCATCAGGACCCAGGGGCATTTGGTGGCAGGACCCAGCAGCTGAGTAGCAAGGCCTGTCCAGCTCCACCCCGCCCCCAGTCCTCCACCTCCCTCCCATTCCAGCCCCCAACCAGAAGCCTCTGTGGCTTCAGGACCCTGAGGCTGTTCCCCACCTCCCTCTGTCCATGTGAAAAGCAAGATAAGATCAGATGGAGGGAGGGGGAGAAACTGTTGTGATCACCCCAGCAACCAGGAGCTGCATGCTGCTAGCTGGGGTGGGCTGGAGCCAGAGTGGGAAGTGGCAGTTCGGGGGGA